CCCAGACTGGAGTGCAGTGGCCGCACCCGGCCACCACAGCCTCGACCTACTGGTCTCCGGCGATCCTTCCGCCTCGGCCTTCCAAGTGGCTGCAACTACAGGCATGCGCTACCACGCCCGGCTAATTTTTTGATTTATTGTAGAGATGAGGTCTCGCCAAGTTGCCCAGGCGGGTCTCGAACCCGCGGGCTCAGGCAATCCACTCACCTCAGCCTCCCAAAGCACGGGATTACAGGCTGAGCCACCGAGCTCGGTTGTATATACAATATTTTAGATGTTTTATCTTTTTTATTTATTGTAATCACAATGGCAAGTAGATGTCAACATGAATTTCATTTCACTCATTATAAAACTGAGGAATACCCCCACAGGGATTTTAAGCAATTTACATACAACTAGTAAATGGCAACACTTGACTCAAACAATTGCTTGTGTTTCCCAGAATCTAAGCTTCAAACTATTGCATGTTGTACTGCCTGCTGGATTCATATTTTTAACAGATAGAAATTTTTACTGATATTAAAACGCAAGTCCAAATCTTAACTTGAAATGTGATCTTCCTCCACACTTTCTATTTTACATAAGGTGCCATTGTGTGCTTAATTATCCAAAGACCTAGATGTCTACTCATCTCCTCTCCACTCTAAGACTGAATTCAATTCTCATACCATCTTAAAATTTAATGTCCAAATGCATTTTGAATAAGATCTGTTTCTACAGATATCATAATAGACCATCCCTTCATCTTTCACTAGGATTGCTACATTAACATCCTAGTTTATACTGATCAGTTTTCCCTGCCACATCCTTATTACAATTCATTTTTCATATTGTTATTAAAGTGAGTCTTCCAAAAACATGACCCTATTGCTCCTCTTTAAATATTTTAGTTTTTCTCCATTGTCCTTAAGATGAAATTCAAAACAGCATTACTTCAAAGTAGGGTCAACGTATGTCTTGTTATTCCAGAGACAGTGTCCATTTATACCTTTGTTTGTCAGTGTAGTTCTTAATTGTATACCCTTTATTTGAAAAAATATCCTGCTTTAAGCTACTGCTCCAGTCTCATTTCTGACTTTTCTACCCAGCTCATATACTCACACCCTATGGAACTCACACTCATACGGAATTGCTTATAGTTCAGGTTTCCCAAGATTATTATTTTTATTTTTATCTTTTTTAATTTTTTAATTTTTGGGTTTTTTTGAGTTGGAGTCTCACTCTGTCGCCCAGACTGGAGTGCAGTGGCCGCTCCCGGCCACCGCAGCCTTGACCTGCTGGGCTCCGGCAGTCTTTCCATTTTTAATTTCACTAGAAGATGCTGAAACTTCTGTTTCTAGCTTTCTGTTTATCACTCACTCTTGCCACATTTACTGGCTAATTTCTACTGGTTAATTTTACAACTCAACTTAGACATCACCTCTTATTTAGCTTCCTGGGTTTTCTACTAAAAGAACTATGTCCTTTTTCTAAGTATCTGTCACTGCATAATTATTACATGTACTCACTCTTGTGGTTTTGCATATTTTGCTCTTGCTACCACTCACACTTTTGTGAGTTTTTTGCAGACAAGGGAAGTATCCATCTTTTTTTACTAGCTCCCAGCCCATAATCAGCACATCATAATTCTGTTAATTAATAAGAATCTGTGAGTTATGTACAGGAACCCTGTATCTCCAGCACTGAGGATAGTGCCCAACACAAAATGGTTCTCAGCACAAATATTTGTTAAGTCACTAATTTAATGCATAAATGAAAACATTAGTGTTTGGGTACTTAAATTAATTTTAGTGTTTTTGTTTAAAAGGATGCTTATCAAAAAATTCAAATGTGTGGATATAGAAGGGTTTATTTCCTACAGGGTAAGCACTGTAGGTAAAAAACAGTTGTGTGTTTGAAAACATAGTGTGTGAAGTGGTGATGTAATTGAACCAAGGGATTTTTCTTTTTTTGAAAGAGTAAATGTGCTACATATTGTCATTGAATTCAAGTATCATATGAGTATAGGAGGATAATACAAAAAAACATTTTAAATACTGGTTAATTCTTTATTGAAGTTAGAGTACAACTTCAATAACATTTAATAAATGTATCTCCTCAGTCAGAAAATCGTTGAGCATGAATAATCTGAGTGAAATTAACTACTGCTATATATTAAAGATCACTTACCCTGAAAATGGGCTTACCATATTTAAGCTTGTTTGTCACTGCATTCTTTGGATAAACTTTTTTAAATGAAGATGTATTAATTTTGTTTTCTTTTTTTTTTTTCTCATAGAAGTTTTGCATCTATGTTCTCTAGGCATGTCCGGGAAAGTTTGATCATAGGGCAAACTGAGTTTAGATTTATGAACAAAAGATGAAATTACCGGAATTGTTAGTAAGATTAATTGACCACATCATGTAGGATGACTTGGAGTGATTAAAGTCTTGAACTTGGAAAATTAAGAGATTTAAGCCCTTACAAATGTTGTAGCAATAGGATGTAGAAGAGGGAATGCTTATAAGATAATTATATGGATTAGTGATAGAATTTGAAAATTTACTGGATAGACTGAAAAGGGAAGGGGTCAGAGATACTCTGACTGACTAGTTAGTAATTTCCAACCCCAATTTACTAGTTAGAAGATTATTCAGTATGTTGGACAATTCATTTTAGTAAAACATAAGATTAAGTTTACAGAGTTGAATTTAGATCAATACAAATAATTGGAGTTTAGAAAATATGTGAAAGCTAACATACGGGTTTAGAAGTCCTAGATGAAACATTTAAAACCAAAGACAAGACGATTACACACTAGACATTAGAGAGAGGCTAGGATTGGAATTGTCTTCTAACTGCTAAATCAGGATTTTTCTCATTGTTCACCCTATTTGATTTGAAATCTATTCCACAACCATCACTAAATTGCCACTTCTATTTTTGTCTAAATATGAACAGGTTTGTGCCCTATTGAGGTCTATTGTAGCTGAATCTGACATCAAATAAACATTTTAAATGATAAGAAAAAATGAATGGGTGAGACAAAATACAAAAGTATAGAAATATACTTTACCAGGCATCACATTTCCATAGTTAGCTCACGGGAATAAAACAATGAAGAGGGAAAATGGTCTTTGACTTAGAAGATCCCAATCCCATAACAGAGGCCACTCATCAAAGGCTATAAAAAAGACAACTGGGTAAGCCATATGCAATCCCCCACCGTCTTGCTATTTCCCACCTGGTCTGCCCTATGGCAGATCCTGGACATCAAATTCTCAGCACATTATTCTGGGCTCTTACTTGGGCTTACGATATACCTATTACTTTGTTCTCTGTAAGATTCTTGTTAAACCTTAAGCACTAGATGTGCCCCAAATTCACAGAAAAACCTATCTATTTCATAATAAGAACAGCTAATTCCAGTCATTTCCAAGCCACTCACCTAGGCTGTTCAAATTAAGCACTTTTTTTTTTTGAGTTGGAGTCTCACTCTGTCACCCAGACTGGAGTACAGTGGCCGCTCAGCCTTCCAAGTAACCGGAATTACAGGCGCGCGCTACCACGCCCAGCTGATTTTTTTGATTTATTGTAGAGATGAGGTCTCGCTGCCCAGGCAGGTCTCGAACCCGCGGGCTCAGGCAATCCACTCACCTCAGCCTCCCAAAGGCGCGGGATTACAAGCTGAGTCACCAAGCCCGGCTAAATTAAGCACTCTTAACACCTAGGGTAATAAATTAAATAATATATTATGAAGTAATGGACAGAGATAAAATGTGGGGCACCACTTGCCTATCCTTCCCTGTATTTCAAGTGAGGATGCACTTATAGTGTGGACAGTCTTCTCAACTAGGTAGACATTAAGGATGTGCATTGGGGAAAGGATACTTCCCCTTTTAAGGCCTCCCAAATTTGCGACATTAGAAGTAGGAGCTTACTCCTGTTGCCCCAAGACATAAAAGTTGATTTGCTTAGCTGTTTCTATATTTCCTAGTAATGTTAGCAACAAGAGAAACTAGAATTTTTGAAATTACCATTTATTAGGTGCAAGCTTAACTTACATTCTTAATAAACTCCTTCCAAACTTAAATAAATCTAACATTTGCTCACATTACTTCATTTAGTATAGGAAGGTAGTTGCAACAGAATTTTTTAAAAGAAACCATCGTCTATCATAACACTCCACACACATTCACCCCACATACACATAAATACAATTTATTAAAAAAAAAAAAAACAATTTACAGAAGCTTAGTTGCAAATTAATGTGGTTGGCAAACTCAAGAAGCAAATGGAGAAATGAAACTAAGATAACAGGAGGTTAAAGACTACTGGACGTGATGGGCCTTTATTAGTCTGTTTATTAAGGCTACTACAACAAAGTACTATAGACTGTTTATTGTTGGCTTATAAACAGTTTAGTTCTCAAAGTTCTGGGGTCTGGGAATTCTAAGATCAAGGTGCTGGTTGCTTTGGTGAGGGCCCGAGCTCTTATGCAGTATATGGTAGGTAATCCCATTCAGGAGGGTTCCACTCCCAAGATCTTATCACTTCCCAAAGGCTTCACCTCCTAATACTATGAACTTTTGGGTTAGAATTTCAACATTTGGGGGACACAAATATTCAGATCATAGTAGGCTCTTGCCTGCTTATTTTTTTGTGATCTCATATGAGACTATTTGAAAACAAATCTACTTCTGTTATGTTAATTTTTTTCTTTGCATTTGATTAAGTGATTTTTGTTTCTTTTATTATGTCTCTTTATGAAGAGTAAATAAATGTTTAATATATGAGAAAACGAACCATTCTTCACTATTGAGTATTTTAATTGATTGAGAAAACTTGACTATGGAAAATTAAAAGGATATTTTAAAAATACAATTGTAAGTGAAAATAATGACACATTTAGAGCTAAGAACATATCATATCTTTTATATATATCAATCCAATTTATCTAGGCAGAAATACATAAAATATAGAATGCTCACGAGTTTCTGTATCTCAAATTTCTGAACAGAAAGAACGGGAGAGAGGCTCTAATTTGGCCTTTATGTTCCGGCTGCCTTTTGCTGCTGGGAGGGTGTTTAGCATCAGCATGTTGGACACTCTTCTATATCAGGTATGCTGCGTTTCTTTTTTGCTCCCTAAAATGGTTACTTCCTGCACTATTTAGATTTTATGTAAATGAATAATAATACATCTAGTGTTTCTCATGAAACCGTTAAATTAAAATTGGCTCTGGAAGTATTTCAATATTTTATTTCATGTATTTAATGACATAAGTGCTCCTATGAAATGTTTTGTAAGAAAAATTATTTTTAAAAATCATCTATGAAAATTATTTTTAGGAATTCTGCATTGCTAGTGACCTACAAGGTTTATTGTAACATTTTAATACATTTTCCACAATACTCCAAGCATATTCCTGGATTTAAAAAAGAGAGAGAAGAAAAAATTGCTAAGTTAAAAAAAAAAAAAAAAAACAGCATTCCTCATAGTACACATTTTTTTCTTCAGGTGGAACTAAAATTGCATATTGATGCCTATAAACTGATAAATCAAGGACATTTTAAACATTTTCTAATCATTGCCTACTTTATAAAAATATAAAAGATTCTACAAGAACCATCTAGTTTGTTTCTGAATGCCAAATTAGCATTTTCATTTTATTATATCTAAGAGGTTCGTGGTGACGTTCTTTCTCTCAAATATATCTCTGCCGGAAATTGAACAGCAGTAGTATATCATATTCTCTGATTGAAGTAACCAATCTCAAAATATTTCCATTAAAAGGAAAATGATATTCAAAGGACTTTAAATTATTTGATAACATTAATCTCAAAGTAAGCACTTAGGCATTTTATTGTGCCTGTGCTTTTTCATTATTTATTTATTTATCTTATTCTATAATTGCTTGACTGAACAAACTAATCCAAACAGAATTAAAGCTTTTCTGCAGAACTTTGGGCTAATTTTGTCCATGAGTATGCCTCTAGCAATGGCAGTAATCATCTGCTTATGTCAGATGAATGCTGGAGCAAACACAACAAAGGAGAATAAATACTTCTGTTTGCCCAGTGTTTCCGGAGGCATTATGTCTTACTCCCGAAAGCAGAGATCCTATCCCAAACACCATTGCCACATACAGACACACACACACACACACACACACACACACACACACACACACACACACACACACACACTCACTTCTGATCTGTTAAACGTATAGATTGCAGAGGAGGGCTTGCTTGAAGCAATGTTGAAACTGAAGATTTTTTTTTTTTTTAATCTATAGGAACCAAATGCTTAAATGTTATTATGCACCAGTGGTTTCTAGATTGTTTTTAGCCACAGCATCCGGTATTTAAATAAAACCTTGTAAGGAAATTTAATGTGCAAGTTAAATAGAAGAAAAACTGTTTTGTAGAAATAGAAAGCAGTAGTTTTTCTTCATTTCTACCTCAGGTTTATAAGCAGAGATACAGGAAATAATGTGTTTTCTGAAACTTCTGTAGAAAAGACCCGCCTGGGCAACTTGGCGAGACCTCATCTCTACAATAAATCAAAAAAATTAGCCGGGCGTGGTAGCGCGCGCCTATAGTTCCAGCTACTTGGAAGGCCGAGGTGGAAGGATCGCTGGCGCCCAGCAGGCGAGGCTGCGGTGGCCGCAAGCGGCCACTGCACTCCAGTCTGGGTCGACAGAGTGAGACTCCAACTCAAAAATAAAATAAAAGGTCAACAAGAATTATAGTTTTTAAGGTCTTAAATTATAACATGTAAACATTACATTTTGCATTTCAATCCAATACATACTAGCATGTTCTTGTGCATATAACTAAAACAAAAATCTCAAACTACAACACTTGTCCTTTCTGCTTATAAATGGCTGTTTTATTTTTTATCTTACTGGACATATTCTATTTCATTTAAAATATTTGATGGCCATGACCCATAACTCTATTTTATGACTAGTTGTTTGAAAAACACTTGACTAGGGGACACCAGAATTAGTAAAATCTAGAGAATAATTTCTTTTCTGTGGGACTTTTGATAGGTTGTTAATGATACTTCAACTATTGAGAATGATTTTCTTTTCTTTTCTTTTTATTAGAAAATATAGTTTATTTAAAAAGCCAGAGAGAGATATGATTCATCTCTCCAAGGGAGGGAAGGGGGCCAAAGCCAGGAAACATGGCAATGGCCATAACTCAAAGAGCACATAAGGCAATGGCCGAGAATGATTCTCAATCACACTTTATGTGATTTCTTACTCTGTGTGTCTGTAGAGACTCTGGTCAAGCATTGTCACCCGAGGAAAATGTGATGATGTAAATTTTTTAAAGACTCCGTTTTAGTATGGAGTGGTGTAGAAAGGAAGCACATGCAATAATAATTAATAAATATAGTTTAGCCGGGCTCGGTGGCTCAGCCTGTAATCCCGCGCCTTTGGGAGGCTGAGATGAGTGGATTGCCTGAGCCCGAGGGTTTGAGACCCACCTGGGCAGGGAGACCTCATCTCTACAATAAATCAAAAAATCAGCCGGGCGTGGTAGCGCATGCCTGTAATTCCGGCTACTTGGAAGGCTGAGGCGGAAGGATCGCCGGAGCCCAGCAGGTCGAGGCTGCGGTGGCCGTGAACGGCCACTGCACTCCAGTCTGGGCGACAGAGTGAGACTCCAACTCAAAATAAATAAATAAATAAATAAATAAATATAGTTTATAAACTTATTTTACTAGCAAAGAGCTTAGTCCTAAAAAATACATATTTTTTCATTGCTTATTTATTTTATATCTTTCATTTTTATGATATTCTTCATTTTGTTTGTAGTATTGTTATTAAAAATCTGTAATAATTATTTTCTATATTTCCTTATGATTAGCTTAACTATACATGCTTATTTAGGACACTAACTATATAAGTTTTTATTTCCTTTTGTTTGAAAGCTTATTGATTTGTTATGAGAAGCAACCTTTTAGAAGTGATTAGATGTTCCCACTCCTAACTACTCTATGCATCTTATAATAAATACTTATTTTGTTTATATTGCAGTCATTTGTGAAAGATTATATGATTTCTATCACCAGACTTCTCTTGGGACTGGACACTACACCAGGATCAGGGTTTCTTTGTTCTGTAAGTAAATCATCTCTAGAATAGAAAATTGTTCTGATAGAAGGTTCTGAAATCCATCTACTATGTATTTTGGCTAACTTTTCTATGTCATATATTATTTTTTTCTAATGTGTGTTCAAAGAGTTGTACCTGAGTTTTTTTGATTCCTTAAAAAATTATGAAAAACATTTTATTTCAATTAATACTCATAATAAATAGCCGTTCTGTAAAAAATTCAGAACAAGTGTTGTTGTGGTTTTCTAGCTGGCAGTGTTCACTACCAGATTCAGACATAGGATACCATACTGTCTCTGAAAACAGTGATTATGCAGATGAATATACTTCGTCTAAGTGTACTGAATGAAGTGATTTGCTAACAGCTCAGATTTATAAGTCGCAAAGTACTGAAACTCTAGTTTTCTGTCTGTTAGCCCTATGCTTATTCTACCACACATCTTTCTCAATATGGTTATTATTAGAGTATTAGGAGGAACAAGTCTTTTAGTATTGGTGTTTCTTTTGTACTTTACATTTTGTAGCCTCAGCAGACCTTGTACACTAAATACTAGTGGCAGCCTGCAGTTATTGAAGTATATGAAAAAGTCTCCATATAGTTTATGTCTCCCAGTTAATTCCCAGTGCCCTGTTGCCTGCAGATATTGAACTAATAAAAATGTTATACCATCCCAAATTGAATACTTAGATCTCTTAGAAGTTTGGGTGAACCCCTGAGATATGCTGAGGTGGAATACAATAAATAAATTTAATACATGGATAAGCATTTATGAAATATTACTTTGAGACTACAAAATGTAAGTAAATTCTGCCTTTAAGAAATAGAAAATAACTATTGGGTTTTTATTTCATAGACAATCAATATACTTTATATGTATTATAGATGAAAATCACTGAGGATGACTTATGGATCAGAACTTATGCCAGACTTTATCAGAAGTTGTGTTCTTCCACTGGAGATGTGCCCATTGGAATCTACAGGACTGAATCTCAGAAACTTACTACATCTGAGGTTTGGAAATACCAAAATATTCTCATTTTATGTTTAATCTGATGAATATTGTCATTCATAAACTTGGAAACTGATTTCTGAAAAATGATATAGAAAGTGAAAACAAATGCTATCTGAATACAGAGTGTCAAATCTCAGAAGCAAAAATCTTTTCAACTATTTGTTTTAGTAAACTATGACAGTAATTCACAAAATATTGTTGGTTAAGAGGCTGTTCTAGTTTATGAACATCGGGCTCTGGATGCATTGTGTAGATCTGGCATTTGCCATTTCTAGAAGATTGTCAGGAAGTAAATTAATTCTCAATAGCCTGAAGGTTCTGACACATAAGAAAAATTCTCAGAAGAAGCGGCCTAGATTTCTAATATACTCCCCTGCATATATTAGCATTTGGAAGAAAGCAAAACAGAGAGAAATTAGTTAAGTATTAAAAGTCACATTTCTCTCCAGGCTCGGTGGCTCAGCCTGTAATCCCACGCTTTGGGAGGCTGAGGTGAGTGAATTGCCTGAGCCCACGGGTTCGAGACCTGCCTGGGCAACTTGGCGAGACCGCATCTCTATAATAAATCAAAAAATTAGCCGGGCGTGGTATCGCATGCCTGTAGTTGCAGCTACTTGGAAGGCTGAGGCGGAAGAATCTCCAGAGCCCAGCAGGGCAAGGCTGCGGTGGCCGGGAGCGGCCACTGCACTCCAGTCTGGGTGACAGAATGAGAAGCCGACCCAAAAAAAAAAAAAAAAAAAAAAAAAGTCACATTTCTCAATCTGAATTGAAGACCAGTCTGAAACCAGAAGAAAACTCCAAGAGTAGTGCCAGACTTTCACAGGTGAAAGCTCAGCAAATAAATGTAACAGCAAACTATAGCCTACTCATATGAAAGAAGAATTTCTAATAACTGCATGCAGCTGAAAACGTATTCACACTTTCATTTAGTTAGGGTTCTAAGTAGTTTTTGTATTCATATTATAACAACACCTTTTAAGTGAGACATTTTTATGAAATAAAGATTTTGGACAAATACCCTATCAATATCTATAAAATTATTTAATATTTTTTTATGGTTCATGTTCTTGAAATATTTTTCTTCTTCAGACACATCAAGGTTATTATAAATTTCAAAGAAATTTTGGTTAGCCATTACATTTTTTGTCTTATGCAAAATTACCTCAACTGTAGACTTAGATCTGTCATATGCATTTCAGTAGTTCATGTGACTATTAAATCGCTTTGTTGATAAAATCAACAAATCCATGCACAGGAAAGAAAAGCTTATAGAAATCATAAGAGTAATGGGATTTATTTTTGCATTTTTGTTACAATTTATAGTTTGACACATACGTAATTGGCCAACAAAAAATAGTTCAGATTTTCTGTGATGATTTTTATTGGTTTTACTGTAGCTCCAGGGATGTTAAATGGAGCTTTGTTGCCATCCCTCCTTCTGAATCTGAATTTTTCTTTGGCAGAGGTGCCTGTGGTTGACACCACAAAGAGTGAGACCAGGCTAGATATGGCTAAAATGTTTAGGATACTGGACCTCTCCAAAATATATTATTTGATTAAAGGTTAAGAGGAAACCAAGTACTTTCAAACCTAAGCAATTAAGCACGATCATAATCTGTTTAGCGTCTATAACAAAATGCCATAGATTGAGTAGCTTGTACATGACAAAAATTTAATTCTCACACTTGTAGAAGCTGGTTGCTAGTGGAGATGAGGGCTTGCTTCCTCCTGGTTCTTAGATGACCATCGTCTCACTGCATCCTTGCCTGGTAGAAGGGGAAAGGGATGGATCTCTGAGGACTCTTTTATAAGAAACACTCATAATTTAATCATTTTTCAAAAGCCCCACTTCCAAATATATTCATATTGAGAATTAGGTTTCCACATATGAGTACACATGAGTTTGGAGAGTGGAGCACAAACACTCAATCTTTGGAAAACATTTATTATTTGACCACAGCAAGTATAAAAAATATTTCCATAAAGCAGAGTATTGTCATGTTCTTATCTCATATATAGGCTTGCAAGTTTCAACGCAGTAAATTATTCCTTTGGTCAATTTCATACCTATGTCAGTCATTTTGTATTATAAAATACTTTGTCGTGTGCTGTTTACCTTGTAGGTAGGAAAAAAAACCGAACTATTTGTGTTATCGTCATGGAATACTTAACTACATTTTGGTCAACTCTGCCCATCACAAGTAAAGTTCACTTCAGTAATATGCTTATGAATCTCCAAACCTCTAATTTATAGAGGGAATCAACAGGATGATTGATCATAAAGGGAGATCTTGAGAAAGTCAGAAGGCTTCAGATAGATTTCTTTAGGAAGATGAAATCTATAGAATACCTATGCATCTCAGTGTCTTAAAAATATATATTGGACAATTGTCTGAGAGTTCAGGAAGAATTATTGCACATATCTAAGTAAATATTTAAACAATAAAATAAAACTGTTATTAACTTTAAGACTCTAACACCATCATCAACAATGAAAAATGTGTACTGGAAATAAATACTAACCACATATTCTATATATCTCATCTGTAAATATGCATAGTCATAATATGTCCTGAATTTTGATCCAATCAAAATTATATTGAATTATTTTGAGGTGATAGGAGATTGAAAATGTAATGGAATATGTGAAAAAGATTATTGGTTCCTCTTCTTGCAGAATGAGAAGCCAATAAATAAAAGCAGAAACTGAAAAAATAAAGAAATAACAATCAAGCACGTTATATAGAAACAGAGAGGTAAAGACTAACACATCTAGGTAACAGAAGCAAAGTAGATGTGCCCTATGAGAGGGAAATAAGAGAGATTATTATGGAAACAAAACAAACCGTAACATTTTCTGACTATTTCAACTATGCATTTATAACTAGTAAAAGTAACTTACAGACATAAAGCAGTGATATTCGACTCATACATTATTTCTTCAGTATATAATTTTAAGTGCTAAAGCCTGTTCTGTTTTATGAAGCACTTTTATTAAATATCAACATTTTATGTAAAGACAAAGTAATTTTACTCTAGGCTTTGCTTTCTTGTTTTTTCAAGTTTTTTTTTTTTGAGTTGGAGTCTCACTCTGTCTCCCAGACTGGAGTGCGGTGGCCGCTCTCGGCCACCGCAGCCTCGACCTGCTGGTCTCCGGCCATCTTCCACCGCAGCCTTCCAAGTAGCCAGAATTCCAGGCTTGCGCTACCCAAGCCCGGCTGATTTTTTGATTTAT